TTTGTACCATGGAGGAAGGATGTTTGTACTCACCGTTTCTCCCGAAATCCAACGTCAGAAGCCTTTAATCTGGGAAAAGATCACGAATCCTCGAGCATCCTGCGTTCCACCAGAAAGCCGTGAGCAAAATGACATATAGGCCACGTACGATCCTATGATCTTTTGACGTGGGCGGTACAGCAATCATAAAGTACATGTACTACCTTTGCATACGCGCCCCGCTTGTACATTGCGACTTCTGATGCCGGCGTTCAGGAGCCGCTCTGAAAGCAGGTTCACCAAGTCTAACGCGCGCACTGCTGAACATACGCCCCGTGGTATACCGTAGCACCAGCTTCAACACGAAAACCGACGGCGGACTCTATGAACATGGCAATGTTCACTACTAAGTATATCCATCAAAACTCTAATTCATGCTTAGCATTTAACATGATTACAGAATGACAGCGAATTGTTCAAAAAGGGATAAATGGCTGTCAGACAGCAAATTGTTCAAAAAGGGATAAATGGCTGAATACAATTTGGGCAGTGAACCAATGTAGGCAGCCATAGCTTGCCCGTACAGTCTCCCTTTCTGTGTCGCAGAGCAAACAGCCCCAAAGATACAAACAAAGGAATGGAATCATCTTCATCCAGCTTCTGTTTTCTCTATTTTTACAGGATTCGTGTGAAACAACCAAAATGGCATCCAATGAGCTGACAATATTTGCCACAGGAGGATTTTGTCTTACACAATGCCTTTTATTATTGCGCTGTCACAAAACAAGTTTGACCACGTTTACACAATGCAAAATGACGTTAATATTGGTAAAAACCACAGTTTTCCCCTAGGCAGAACAATAACACTTTAATCAGGTTCCCGTTACCAATTGGCTTCAGCTATGACTCAACCAGAAACACTTAGTATCAAAAATAAATTTGTCTTACGATTAGTAAGGTGCAAAGAACACTATTATACATTCGTGACAAGGAAATGATATAATGCGCACAAACTATACAATGGGATTCCATGTACTTCAAAACATTTACAGTCCATGCTATGCTTTTAAACTTACAAAGGCTGTGGCAATATAGTAACACCTTCAAAACACTTCGAGTGTTTGTTGGATTCTATGTGCTGAACAGTTAGAATGGGAATTCACATAAGTTTATATCGAGAAATAATTACCAACGGACTATACTGCTTGATGCAAAGTCAGAAAAAGTTGTAAGAAAACTGGCGAAACCTTGGTTTTCGCAACCGCATTTGGGAGTTACATATTTTGACAAAAAATTCACATGAGCTTCGGCTACTTGGAAGAAGAGACATTTCTGTGGCAATTAAAAAGCTGATGATTAAAATTTTAAGGGATGTTTAAATATCAACAGTGATGTCTTTCTGCGATTGTAAAATGGGCACATATTAGTGTCTCTCATTAAAACACTTCGGGCAGACATTTTGATCTTGACTTGTCATCTGATCTACCCGATCATTTGTCTCATTATACGTATCAATCGAGTGTTAATAAGTGACTCAAGCAATGTCTCAGGTGAATAAGACTGGTACACATGAATCACATAAGAAATTGGTGTCGATTGAAACAATATGAGTGGCGCGGGTGCCATGCTACGCAGAATGAGTCGCGTTTTCTGCTTATTTTCAAGGTGCGAAATCCATTAAGACACAAACGGCTCGACTTGTAAAGTTGAAGTTGACAGTGAATTTGAAAGTGTACAAAAAATGCGACTTCAAATCTTTCATTAGTTAAACTGATGCTGCATCAACCTCTGACAAATATAAACCGTGACCTCGTTTACCCCAGTGGTGCCATTTTGACCATTTACCTCGATACGCACACAAATGAGTGTTGCACCTGTATACTTCCACAACCCACGACTGTAGGCTACAATGAAAGGCATGTGATGCATTCATCACAAATTCTCTATCAAGGCACGACTGTGACATCACAATTCTTGAAGCTTTGCGATGTATGTTACGTTTAACACCTCCGGTGTTATCAGAGGACCACACTACACTTTTCAATGGTGTTAAATTTTTGGTGTTAAATTTTTGGTGTTATTGGGGTTACTTATAACACCCTCCATCGCACTGTAACACTTATAGTGTGCAAAATAACACCATCGGTGTTAAAGTAACACCCTTTAATGTGGTCAACTGATAACACCAAAAAGTGTTGCTTTTAACACCAGAGTTTTTACAGTGAAGATATTACAATTACTGAGTCAAACCTCCCCGTTCTCCTTTTATTGCATTATATTAGTTTGACGATATGTGAAACCAGAATTAGCAAAATAACATACTTAGCAGATACGAAGCTAACATAGTATTTGTTATCCATAGACAATGGAGAAGACGGTACGCATTCAGTTACGTTGATGGGTGCAATTGTCCATGTAGGAGACAGAATGGCCCGTTTAACGAGGTAAACCAGAGTAACGCAGAATTTCCAATCAGTCATCTCATTAATTTGAAATAGTTCGCTCCACTGCATGAATGTGAAAGTTTTCTCATTTAATTCATTCAAAGCCTGGAAACATCTGGAATAAACTCCCTCGTGAAGTGAATCAATCTTGAGTAAATTCCCGTCTGAATAAATCCTTGAATCACGACGTGTTCATGTGTTGTTTAGATCAAATAAAACAATGAAACTTCCATTCACCATTGGATAAAACATTCGCTGGGACTCTGGAGTGAATTATTCAATGCACGCGATCAACCAACCAATTCGATGATAGGGATTTATTTAATCAAGATCGTTAATTCAGTCGCCCTGAATTATCTCCATAATGCGCCATACGTTACTAGGAATTTCGTATACGACCGCAACAAAACACAGTTTTTAACACTGACTCAGTGAGCGTTCAGATTATTTAAAGTCAAATTATTTTCATCAATAATTAAACACCTCAAATTGTACACATCTCAGACAAAACTGTCTTAAAAGATGAATGAATGTAATTAACTTATCCTCAATACAAAAACAGCATATACATGTACTTTTGTGAAAGCTGAACTATGTATAAACATTAAAGTCACGGAGATAAATTATTCGTCTCTGTATAAAACACGTTTTCGGTGCTGCCTGGATATCTGCACGAAAAGAGACTTGCTCACCGTCCTGAAACTGAACAGCATATTAATCTTACACAGACATCACCGTAGGTTCCTTACGCTGTGACTCAAAAGCAGGAGGCATCCACTAACGTTAACATGTCACATGTACATATTGGGGAAAAAAATGATAAGCAAACTCGAAAGGGTCATTTCAGGAAAATTTTGGTGTTCCTCATAATATTTCTTACTTAGTTTACAAAAAGCCGTCATATCGTCTGGTTACCAGTGGGCCATACATGGTGCACAGAGCTGTGGCAGACATTATATTCCAGTGCACCTTCAAAAGGGAAGTACACACAAGAGACAAGGCGCAACAATCGTGCCTCGTATACTCTGTAATACAATGCAACCTGGTTTAGACCACAAGTATTGGCGCAGCCATGAATCTCTGTCGAACCGGGATGGCGATTGAGTTTTCCGCCTCAACAAACCTACATTTTTGGTTCAACTTGAGTTGAAGTAGATTGTCATTATAGCTGCGCCACTGTTGCAATTAAAACAAGATGTAATGAGCTATGACCACACCAAATCAACAACGGAAGGTCGTGTGGGGTTTCAGTGACCGACCAGGGTGCGGCCGGCCCGTGACCGGAGCAAAGACGCAGCCATCCCGTCCACCGTGTTCCGGATGACTCGGTTCCGCTCTTTCAGGTCCTTGACGCTGGTGTCCAGCTGCTCCGTCTTGGCCCCAATGTCGTCCACCTTCTGAAGCTGTACCTTGATGTTGCCCAAAACGTCTTGCAGGTTCTCGAAGGACTGGTCGGCCGCGTTCAGGGACTTGAAGGTCTCATATCTGAAGAGATTGAATGGGATCAAGCATGATTGAGGAGAACGACGGGAGTGGTGTCAGAAGTGGGATTGGCATTAGTCTACACTTTGTTCTTGTGTCTATAAGCCCTATTGCGAGCAAAGTTGAAACCGCGACTGCGGCCCTGTACAGCACAACTTTTTTTACGAGTCAAAAGTCCAGTATACTTCATGCTTTTGAAGACTAGCCAACGCATGCTGAGCATTTAAAACACCCTCTCCCTCCGATCGGTAAATGCAGAATGTGAAGTTTTCTCCCTAGGTTTCTGTAATTACATTCAAATTAATACACTACCACGAGAGCAGACATGATTCCCTCAATTAGTCATGTTTGTGCGGATGAGGTGGTTTGACACGGGCGACTGACATTTATTCAAGGGAGATGTAGGCCTACATGTCAAACAAGGTGGAACATGCCTTGAATACCGTGTAGCCATGCAGTGTGTGTTTGTGTACAACGTCAAAGGGCAAACATTTCCAAAGTGAAAGCACACTTCGTAAAGAGTCTACGGATACAGTCATTTCTATAAAAAGTAAACACACATGCTGCACGGCCACAAATGACATCCAAACGTGACACACGGGGCCTATTCTGTCTGCTTCTGGAATACAAACCTAACTCGTTTGTACATGTACTTTACTACCCGTACATTGAATAACCCGTGAGACAGTTACGGACGATAAATTCTAAAAACCGAGTAATTGATTCTTTTGTATGGTGTGTATAAAAAGTCACATTTCGGTTACACTTAGGCTACGTTGTGTGATACCTGTAGCTGTCGTTAACCTGCGCGTCTTCAGAAAAAAATATATGGATGAATCTCTGACATCCGAAGGCCAGAGTTGGTTAAACGTGACTGGCCGCAGGATTTCCAGCCCAGTTTCTAGACTATTTAATTCTACCAAAGGTCGAGTAATAAGACGTGAGTCACATTCACCCATGATAATACCATCAAGAATACGCTTGTATCTGCACTTATTTTATGATGCAAATAAACTGCACGTGTTCAAGGGTTCATTGCTGGTCTCTCCTGCAGAAAACAAAATGGCAACAGCGAAGGCAAGGATTACCTGCTACCCGGAAGTGGTACCAAACAGCTATTTGAAGTTCAGACCTAAAAGAAGCGATTGTAGAATTATTCCTTACATAAGTTTTATTTACGATGGCGAAATCACACCAAGAAGACATAACGTTTGAAGTGTGGTACGACGAACATCTGGTGAAGAATTGAAGAAACGAGGAACCTCTCGATAAAAAGGAACACATTATTGTATTAGTGAAGCCGAAGCAACTTTAAATCTGTGAAGAAGGTACCAATCTCGTAGGCCTACATGTCGAGTGAGTTATACCCAGCAAGAAATGAGACCGAGGGTACTCTCCCCAACATGTCCAATCCCTATACACATTCCAGACTATTGTTACTTAACACATCCCCCCCCCAAAGATGTCTGAAAGGAATTCCCCAGATTCCAGCGAGACAATAGCCAACGCAAAGCAGGGAGGTTCTCTCCGTCTCATACCTTGCTGCATATGGAGCGACTCGCTGCAATGCAATGAGCGACTCGTGCCCCCTTTTATATCAAACTCATTCGCATTCCCGTTCAATTACTCCGCGCTCACGAAAACAAAAAGTTCCAGACGAGGACAAAGCGACTTTTGGAATATGGATGGTTTGGGTGCTTTGGGGGAGCAGGCCAAACGAGGGCGACATTGTTGCTCGTCGGCTCCTCTAAATGGAGCTCGGGGGTGTATCAGATGTTGCAAATATATGAAAAATAAATAATGTCAAATTGTCGCTCAAATACGCTTCCCTACAGCCCCACCCCACTGGAAACGCTCCTTTATATGACAACTCTTTTGCAAACTTTGTTTTTCAGACGAATGGGTGCATGTCGCACCTCAAAACCATGCAGGATGCGTTTTAGAAGTTGACAGAAAACACGAGTATATTTTATTTACATTTTTCTTTAAGCAGGGTAGTTTCCTCAGTTGTAGAACAACTATCCTGGAAATCCCTGGTTTTTAAATTTAAAACAATTAAAGGCCACAATTAAAAAATAAATAAAATCAAAATTAATTTAAACGTAAAAATAAAAATGTAAAAATAAATACCCACCCTGATTAACAGAGAGACACATAAATCAAAGTTAAAAGTTTAAAAGGAAAGAAAGAAAACGACTACAAAAACCAAGAGGATAGTTCTCAATTTCTTTTTTAAAGGTTAAAAAAAGAAAGGCAAAAAGCATACTAAGAATCAAAGATATAAATAAAAATATAATGAACTTAAGCTAGTTGAAATAGTTAAATTTACTGGAAAATCAAATGAAACCGTAAAATGCACACAACTACACTCTAAAATACTTCAAACCAACTAAATAAGGCGTTTAAAAACCGGATGAGATGGCACCTGTCTCTGCGAACTAGTCAAATGATTCCACCCTGTAGAAAGCAACATACTGGAAAGTAGGCTTGGCAGCATTTGTCTTTGGAGCAATTGAAACACGCAGGGAGCCATTTGTAGTTGAGCGATTACTAGTTGGGAGACATTCTTCACAAAGGTATACTGGGTTTATGTTATGGACGCATTTAAACACTTGATACATTCGCATACAATGCCACCTGTCAGGAAGACTTTTCCAAGACAAAGTATTGCGCAGCTCAGCAGTGAGTGTCAGTGAATGAGCATATATTATGGACGCATTTAAATACTTCACACATTCGTATACAATGCCACCTGTCGGAAAAACTTTTCCAAGACAAAGTATTGCGCAGCTCAGCAGTAGGTGTCAGTGAATGAGCATATATTATGGACGCATTTAAATACTTCACACATTCGTATACAATGCCACCTGTCGGAAAAACTTCTCCAAGGCAAGGTATTGCGCAGCTCAGCAGTGGGCGTCTGTGGATGAGCATGAGTGTAGCAAGCCGATTAGGTAAAATAATAAGTTCGTCACTCAGGCTTTTAGAGCAGTTAGACCAGGCCACGCAACAATAATTGAAAAGAGGGAGTACCGTGGCACAACTTAACCTAACCAGATCATGGTGACAAAATATAGACATGTACGTGAATCTAAACACAAACTAGTCATCAAGGAGTAAGTTACAAAAGCGGATTCGTGACGTTCATTTCTACAAAAAGCCAACGACCCCATTCGGTTTGTCGTCGCTTTGGGGGCTTTTGTGGGGAGCGCACGCGTTCCAGCTTTAAGGTAAGGTCATTATCCACCATACGTACGTATCCCGGCGAAATCAAAAATAGCGGAAAGCTGTGAATCATTTTTTAACAAATAAGGAGGCCCACTTCCGGACATATTTGAGGCATTGGAATGTAATGAGCATGACAGGTAACACTGCAACCGCTTCGGTTCGGTTAATTTTGAATTGATGACAAGTTTACGCGAGCTTTGTGTATTTCTGGGAAAACAAAAGGCGCATGACTTTTAGTACGTTCAGTGAGTTAGGCTGTCTGTTGCCTGGCCGTGCCGTTGTGCAAGAATTAATATTAAGCCAGGTAATTGAAATTTCAAGAACAGAATGAAGAAAACTTTGTCAGACTGTGCCCAGGTCCAGCAAAATTTACTTCAGCCATTCTAAGGGTATAGGTCTAGACCTGCATTTTTCCTCTTTGAGGTATTTCTTGTTTATATTTGCTCATCAAACAGCGCATTTAGCGCCGATTACAGAATGAAGTCACGCTTAAGAAGACAAAGACGAAATTTTCAGTTTTAGAGTTGGGAGGAAAACCCCTCATAAATATTCCAGGGAAACCTTGCTCTGAATCAGGCTGAGACTGAAAACCCAATCCACACGCTGGCCTAGGTGGGATTCGAACCCGGGTCACAGAGGTGGAACGCGAGGAAAGAGCCACAACACCAATCTGACTCTCTATCGGCGAGCATAAATACACTCGGTATTTGTGAGATACCCCTCTCCAAAATGGACAGCGCTGGGCTCGAGTCGGTCGCGGTAGGCTAATGTGGTACTGACCCAGATGCATAATACCATACCCCATGAATGGAAACACCGAGTCGTCCAAAAAGAAGCAATCAACGGGACTGTCAAAGCTCATCAATAGATAAATGTAAGTTTACAAAAAATTGAAAGAAAAGAAAAACAATCAGTAGGCGGGGACGAAAGAAAAAAACAGGATTTTTGAATACGACTTAGGCCCTATTTGGCCAAGCCAAAATTTAACTAGAAAATCTCGAAACACTGGACAACCTTCAAAATCTTCATTTGACATGCATGAAAACGATGGCGGTTTGAGCAAACCAGTTTTTTTCTAATCGACAAAAACACAAGCGATAAAAGACGCAATGTGGCCAATCCCGTCGGATTGGAAACCCGCATCACCGATGTCAAAATCAACCAGCAAAATGCGAGTGGCTTTGAGAAAATCCGGCCGATGTTTCCGATCCGTTCGGGGTGGACTTGTTGGCTTTGCTCTGCGAATCAGCGGGCTATTTAGTATTCATAGATTCTGACTTGACTCGGTCAGCGACGACTCGAGAGCCGGGTCGGCACCCGCCAGGCACTTGGTTCATCTTCCACGAAGCTCTGAAGTGTTTGTGTGGAGGGAATCCCGTTGTAAATACGTGTGAGGCTACAAGCTATATCCATGACCAATGGACGTTTATACCGGCGCATAATATTCAGTAAAATTGACAAAATGTATACCAGAAGTGGCCCAGCAACTGCGGCCTACACCGTTACCTCTCCCATAACCTTGATAAGCCTCAATAAACCCATAATACATTGTATAATGCAAAAATGGCCCGAGAGGACAAATTTTACAACCAGAATTTCACACACTACTGCACACAGTAACTGTGCTCAGTCTTTTTTTTTCAATTTTCTTTTCCAATGGTCGACCATTCGGCTTTAGTCTGACAAGCTGCATTCACTAGAGCTATAGAATAAACAATGTACAACTACTGGAAAAGAGTCAGGTTGGACATTTAGGCCTGCTGCTTCTTTGGTTTTGTTTTATTTCGAGCCTTATCAAGCTAATTTCCTGAGTACTATGCAAATATTTGCATTTGCTCAAGTTGAAAAGGCTTGTTCGAAAGAATTGCAGAGTGCAATTTTCTTTTCACCTCGTGCTTGAAAATCAAACTGCATCTCTTACCTGAAGACAGCCACATCGTTCCGGATTGCCATGACGTCCGCCCTGGACACGGCGTTTTCCGCATCACCACCGCTGGAGGACGAATGATCCAAAATGTATCGCTCCGCCAGCAGTCGCGCTATTTTCTGATCATGGCAAAGAAAAGAAAGTGCGACCATTTCTAACATACAGTCTTTTAGAAATATTTAAGGTCTGGCTTTTAGAACTTAGTTTTTCCTCTGCGTTTAGAAGGTCCTACATATGCAAGAATTTCAAGATGGATGCCAAAAGTGATGTGCAATAGGACCGAAAACCCAAACGGGCTTGCCGGAGCGTCGCCAGCCAGCAAAACACCTGTTTGGAACAAATCAACCAATCAACCGATGGGGGGGGGCTGGGCACCAATTGGAACTTCGGAATGCTATTTAAACAAATTAATACTTTTGTCTGTGCGTATAAAATATACAACAAATACGTTTTAGTCTTCTTTCCAGAAGTTTATATTGTAAAACCACACTGATTCAGTCGGTGAGTATTGACTTCTACGCTCTCCGATTATTCCTTTTTTGAAGGGGTCTCCGAGGAGCAAAGAGCCTCTTTTCCTCAGAAGGCAAATTCGAAACGAATATTACAGTACTGGGTAAGCTTGGTCGATTTGGAATGTTCACTCGGTCATGAGGATTTATCGGAACCTCCCCCGTCTTCTGTCTCTTGCAGCTTTATGCATGAGGCATCACATTTTAATCTATCAAATTGCTGCAGTAGACGCTGAAGTCACGGAATGGCCAACGTGGCGCACCGTTAGCCCACCTCATGTCTCCTTCGCGCCAGTTGCCACGGAAATCACGTCACGTGACGAACATTGGCGTCACATGGTAATAAGTTCTGTCACCCTCAGCGGGGCACCCCGGGGAAATTCATTTACCTGGATATGCGCTGCTGTTTGCGTCGCTGAGGCGTGTCGCATTTAATACAGATAACCAAAAACAACACTGGAAATTCTGGCACCAATCTCTTACATGATACGCCACATGTTCCCAAATGAGCAGCAAAATACTTCAAACAAATAATGGCATAATACTAGCGCTGAACGAGTTACTTGTAAAGCTTGATACGACGCTGTGTTTTCAACAGCATGGAGGTGCAGCGTACCTGCACTAACTGAATGGGATACACTTTCGTAAGGCTTCGTCTTGAATGCTACGTGCAGTATTCAAGAAGAACGTATTCGGTTCAAGTTTGTTCTTTCAACATTATTTTGCACTGTGGCTCTGCGACCTGTGGTCGAGAATGGGCTTTCATTCACTGCTTGTTGTAGGCTTACGGACGTCTCTGGGAATTGATCCAACTATCTTCATTATTGAGGATTCCTTTTAAATGTGGCAGCACTCTATGAGGAGGCATGCAAATCACAGAAAAGTGAACTGTTTCCCGCAAAATTGCAAATTTCAGGACTTGGGAGGAGTCAAGAAGGTTTTCCCGCCAAAATGCCTGAAAAATAACTTTAGCTCGAGTAAGGGAAACGGTTATTAGGCGAGGTCTGAATCAATCTGCATGTGAAAGCAGTCATTCAAATCAACAGTTGTCGATGACGTAAAGATTGGTATGAAAGTAAGACGAAGTGAGTGCGTTCTTTTAATTCCTCTTTACACATTTTGTTTCTTTGTCGGCTGGATCATGCCAAAGATTGAACAAATACAAATTATTCAGTTTTTGCCAGTAATGCAAGACGACCGAACCTGGGTAGTGTTCAGTTTTAGTGCCTTTGCATGGCGTGAACCCAAACCCAGGCAACAGTCGAAACATAATCCTCAACGAGACCCGCTAAAATGACTACGTCCCACCACATTTCTGTCAAAGGTTTGGTGCCCCTTCCTTATACCACTGTCTGGGTAAAATGCTACATTTCGTAGGAGAATTTAATCCATGGGCGGACAAGCTCAGGGAATTACGTGGCGCCTGACTCGACGAGTGAACACCTTTCCTCAATTTTCCTATTCCGTTGGTAGCATTTGTAATTGACGCGTGACACCGGAACGTGCTGAACCGGACGCTTCCGACGGTGGGCCAGCGACACGCTCTGTCACATCACGCGACACATTCGCAGGTTCGCAGGCGAGGCACGGGCAGCGAGCACGCTAGATGAACCACTGGCGCGCTCCTTGAACAATTCTTGGAAGACTGACTTCCTCGTCACCACCATGACAAAGGTAGACTGAACTTTGAATTAAAAGAGATCAATACCTTTTACGTTTGGATTTTTTTCAAGAGAGATTAAATATTTGCTTGGTCAGTCTAACTAACGTTCAAGACTGACCGAGCACGTATTTTATTCCCAAACATTAATACCTCATGAGTCAGACAGTCAATCAAGTTAAAAGGATAAACATTTCCTACCATTTTGTTCATCGATTTTATTTCACTTTTACCACACGCCCCTTTCGCCATCTTATGGCGTATACTTCCGCGAGGTGCGACTCGACCAATATGCACAGGAATATGGCTTAATTGTCTTAGGTATTTACAAATACTCAAAGAGCGGTACAAATACTGTTTATGGAACGTTTTTACGCCAGTCTAGAGCCAGGGGCGGGTTCCGTCACATCGACATTTTCTCCACTGTATTGCTGCAGTGCCTTCAGAAATCAGTTAGTAGTGCTGTGCCAATCGTTTTGTCAACAATGTTGTGAAAATCCAACGTAGTGCATTTACAGCAACAAAACCAGATAAAATGGAAAACGTCTTAGTTATATTTGTATTATGATTGTCTTTACATGTACACTGCAAAAAACTGTAGTGTTAAGTTTACACCGGGGGTGTTATCAGAAGACTACACTAGACTAAGTGTAAAACTCTGATGATACCACAGGTATTGACCTAACACCACAGTCTGTGCAGTGTATAGGTGTCTCAAGCGAAAGCGGAATCCACCCACATCTGTGAGAAGGTCCATAGGATCCCGGCTTTTTTTAGGGTTACAAACTACTGTAACCATTTCACTGTAAAAAAAAATTAATGTGCATGTTCGTTACCTTGGTATATTTTGCTTTGCCGAAAAGAAACACCGGCATTTGAACTCCTGTTTTCGCATACAATGGATAGCAATCTACTTGCAAAAAGCTCTTCTTTCGGTCAAATCAATCTAGGAGATGCTGGATATATCTCCCACATTTAAACTATGCAAGCCTAGTCAAGATAAATCCGGTTTGTTTGTGATGACATCATCTGCAAATTCCGTGATCGGGATATATCTTGTGGCAATTATAGTCTATTCGAAACCCTTGGTCTTATGATATTACAAAAACCGCTCAACAAACCACGCTTTGCAACCAACGCTTTAACAAAAACTCGCTGTTTTAAGTAGCTGTTCTTTGCAAATAGCACGTATACTGGCGCGATCAGGGCCCTTGTCCGCAGATGCCGTGCCAGCACCTGGTACGCATTTCACAACACAGACGCTAACTAAACAAGACAGCAGATCCTTCCCCAACAGCTTCATCTGCACGCGTCACCTCCCTGCCAACGCCAAGACACTATACATTTCCTTTAATTATTTAATTTTAATATCCATGAGTGTTTACAACTGACGCCTGTGATAGCGATTAGACTGTACCCACCAGGAAACATAGCGAACGCTGACACACCGGAGACTATACAAATATTTGCGTATGCGGTGTCGTCCTCCGTCACTTTGTTCCGTTGAGAAAAAATTCAAAATGATATCCTGCAAAATGAGATCAGCAACTGCATGCTGATAACTACATTAAAGAATTTCGAAGAATACTTGTTTTCCAAACTCATTTGATGATAAATTGATTCTCTGCAAGTATTTTATATCTACGAGCTCAAAAAGGTAAGACTAAGGTTTATATGCCATCAACGTGCAACATAGCACATGTACATGAAGGCTATACACCGGTGAAACAACCTTGCACAAATACACGAAAGAAAAGAAAAGCTAAGAATAAATTGATATCCACGGATTTAGTCGCATGGATATTTTTCACAGTTCATACAATACTCTATCACACCTGTAGGCCAAGAAGTATATAAGACGGGACCACAGCTGAGAAAATGTTGGACGCTTGTGTGTTGAATTAATGGAGTTCTTCAAAATTAGACGAGCATTCTGTTTGGTGCATGCTTCATAGCACTCAACAGTCCGATTCTACCTATAATGTCAATTTTTTCGATGCGGGCCTTCATGACATAAGCTACTCAAAGCAGGTGCGACGCTGTTACTGAGCAATGAAACCCGATGAGAGACGATTTCAAAGCAAAAATTGTCGGGGAGCTTCAAGTTTCCCCAAGTTTTTTTTCCGACGAGCCCATGAAGTAAAGTGAAACATGCAACATATGCTATAATTAGTAGAGCTCCGAGGGCTACCGAATTAGGGAATTGAAAAATATGGCACTGGAATTAGGGTTTCCAATTCTGAGCAATTGGGATGCCATCCGACACAAAATTGGTACTATTTACCCATTTTGCATTAGGGTTTTTAAAAAAGACAACTTTTCCAGTTTAGGGAATAATCCTTTTTTTTTGGTGGGGGGGGGCTCTGCATTGGGTGAGAATTTCTTCAAAAGGGCATCGGTCAACCCACCAAAAATTGAAAGGAAAGTGAAAGACGACATGTCGATCATGGTTTTTCTGCGCAGCCTGAACACCTGTGAGAGTGGTATTTCAAAAGGAAGTTTGAAGTGTGGGAGATTTACCACTGGTGTCTATGAGAAGGTATTCACTGGGGTGCACTCTCCATATCGGCCATCCTCGAGGGTTCTCCGCTTGACGACCTGCTAGCTGATCCCACAGATGTCTAGTGGACCTTATTTTCATGAGGAAACACTCCCACGTACGAACGCGATATGGATGGCCAGCCAAGCAGGCAGCTATCAGGATAATAAACTGGGGCTATTCGGGAGCAATTTGTTCCATCCATTAAGAAAAATATTATTGATGGAGATTAGTGATCCATGGCGTCCATTTTATTTTCTCTCCATGTTTTGTTAGTGCATCCTTATTGGCGATATATGTCGGTTTGGTACCCTGACTAGAGGGCATTACGTTTTATCAAAGGAATCCTCGAAACGTATAAGATCGGTCAACGTAATCATTAAGATGTTAAACTAAGATGTTAAACTAAGCAGCAATTGGTCACGAAGTTCTCAAGGACTGAGAGGTAGGTTTATAGTCGATTCTTGATTTGTCCTGTATCTCCAGGCAAGGGCGTTCTCGACGACAAAGCGTCGATTCTGAGCGAAAGCCAGAAATCGAATACTTCGTATCTTTCTTCCAGCAAACCAACTGCTAAGAAAAATAATCACTCCAGCGGTCTCAACTCTTGACTGGTTGTTTACTTTGTACAATAATGTTTACGCATGCTCCGCATCCTATGACGCATGCATCACATGCGTTTAGACAACCAGTCCACTGGGGACATGAAAGCACATGCGCTTACATTTTCCAATTAAATTGTGGGTTTGTTTTAGCAGTTGTATCTTAACAAAGATTCTTCAAGTTCTTCATAAATGTATAAAACGCTCAACGGTAACCTAAAATATACGGGCTAGATAATATTATGTTAGATGTTTGCTTTTTCATAGTCGGCAAAACTGTGTATAATATAACTGCAGTAGCGCAAGCGTCCTTCATGTACACGAGTCAGAATTTATGGGACTGTTTCTACTCACGATCTTGACACGCTCAATATATTATAGTTAAAGGCCGAAATCCATTTCAAGGCGATGGAAAAGGACGTATTACAATACACTGCCACTCTCAAACGCCGAGGAGATTTATCGTTTTCATAACCCAGCGTACCCGACGGGGAAAATATTTTTAACAACCCTCTTTAACAAGCTGCTGTCGCACGGCCATCTGACAAGGTATCTCTCGTGATATCTCGTATCGAATTAATCAGCCCAGAAAATTACAAGCTGGCTCCGTCCCCCTAAAGTCAAATTATATCACATGGAAGAGGAGGTAAGCAAGACATATCGGTCATTTTGAAGTGCCTTTTTCCTGTCGGAAACTACGTCGGGCTTTGGCCAATCTGCTTCTCTTGCTTTTACATTTGGGTCTCAAATTAATTAAAGCCGTACACATCATGTTACAACCAAAAAAGTGATCAATTTGCATACGAGGTGGAACCCTGGTCTCTATAGACTGGCGCAGCTGTTAGTCACAGGGAAACCCACACGCGCAGCGATGCAAAACCGTGTAAGTACACGACTGTCGTTGGCAGTGATGTGAATGTCTACTGAGAGACATGTAGACCAACAATGTCAACATTCAAGAGGATTGTTCGTAGGGGCTGATCTGTGTGTGGCCTGTGTACGAACATATTTCGCTTATATTCTGACTGAAGGAAAACAAAGCCGAAGGCGTGCTTACCTTGTACGTGTGTTCTGCCATTTTGTTTTTCTGAAACGACAACCAAACCGAAATGTTATTAAGGAAATGATGCCGGAATGAAAATTTGAAGGAAAGTAGTCTCACCGATACACTTTAAATACCGATAATGCTTTGTATCAATGAAAAGCGTCACGTGTACACTGTCTTACATAGAAGTCTGTTGCCTTAATCAATTTGTACAACCGACATTAACTATATTCATACGAAGGTTGGATAAGTGATATCACTATACAATGTTTCATTGACGAAATGTTGAATATTTTATGAGCAGCATACCAGCCAGTAAAATTCCACTCCTGAAAGTAAAATTATGATCTGACCTAACAATACAAGTCACAAGTCGCCAAAGCAACTGTTGAGTAAGAGGCCTTTGGTAGAATCTTGTACCGTGTATGCAAACCCTCTTCAATCTTTTTCACCCATATATTGTCCTTTTCATCAAAAAACATGGCCTCAAGACTCATGTAGTACGGTCCATTTACGACTGTTAGCATTTAAATAACCGCTTAGTTGGTTTGGTCGCATTTTGTGTCAAAACTGAAAACATGGTCGGATCACAAACTGATGCAGAAAAATAAAACTTTTAACATGCATTAAGAGAACTTTCTCATCTTATTATTGGTCAATAGTTCAGTGTGCCTACGCTTAGAATATGAACATTTGCTTGTGTGAAGATGGTAAGGATTCCTTTTGAGTTCCAACAAGGATGGTTTATTCTAGTCCTAGAGCTTCAATGGCGTGCAACTTGCGGTGTACTTGTTCGGCTCACCGCGGCACCCCAGAGCGACCTACCCCGTTCTGGTTCCGCCGGGGCACGCAGCAGCGGCGGTAGCAACGAGACAAGAGCTCGGTGATGGCGATGCGGGTCGGGATGACATTGAAGGGGGGCGGCACCGTCCCGCCCACGTGGAGGAAATGAACCCACATCTTGGCGCGGGCAAACTTCCACTCTGTGTCCGAGTTTTCCTGCAAAAGTCAGCAGAGAAAGACCAGAGCTGAATGGTTGGTGATTGAACAATGCCTTGAGCTGTAGGTCAAACTATAAAGGGAGATAGAAGAAGGACACGTGGACAAAAAATGGCTCACTAAACAAGAAATTCGTCCTCGTATCTACCAACAGAAGGCTGGCTTGATTGAATGGTGTTTAGGTACCGGTAACCCGTTCACATTTGCATACGTTAGTTGTGGAACTCTCGGTACCATTTCATTTGTCCAATATGAAAGCAGTAGACGAAACAAATCGAAGTGTGAAAAATCACAGGTGCTGAACTCACACTGCTAAATTCAAAATGACGATCACTTTGATCACTTTTACACTGAATAGTATAAGGAAAGAATGAAGACGCGAAACAGTTTTTCCCTGTACAATGTACGAGTGGCCCTTGTTGCGAAGGGTACACTCCAGCAGTTACAAGCTATTACAGATTGCGCATTTGTTAGAATCAGTGGTCGAGGTCGGGCGGCCTTTTCGTGACACGGGTTTCTTGTTCTCGCGCTCAAATGGCGGGAACACGACTGAAGAACACTGTTCTCGGAACAGGATTACACACCACCCCCTCGTCAGGGTTTTACAGGAACACACGGAAAAACTCGAGATTTTGATTTTTAAACAGCTGCAAAAAGTAGAGAGATGGCTTCCAAAGCCATAGACATTGGAAAGTTTTGCAAAATTAACATTAATTATTTTCCGTAACACAGAAATGAATGTTCCTGTTTATATATAGAAAAGAATTCAGCCCATCCAAACATTAACTCTCGAATAACGTAGCCTACATGGACGCCGCCATGTTGCATTTTGCTTGTCACTAACTACCAGCGATAACCGGTTATTTGTTCCCGGCGTTCGACCCACGAACAACAAATCGAGCTGTTCGTGAACTTACGAGAACAAACCGGCCGAACTCAGCCAGTGTGTCCCTGATAAACGCGCCTGTCCGTGTACGTTTTTGGGTCCGTTACGTACACGATGCGTTCACTTGTTTCACTTTCACGGACAACAAAATCCGCATTTCTAACAAACACACCATCAAAATCTGTCCGCGAGCTACCGTATTTGGACGGATATGCGCAACGCTTGGTACAAGTATTGACGCGCATATGGAAAGGCGCCTTAATGCGATTGGTGTGGTACCATTCGTCACGTGCAAAGCCCTCGTTCAGTTTTTTCGGGCGCGCTGTGGAGATTGTGCGTCGTGTTTCAATGACAGCAATCCACACAGGTCAGGCCATCTCCGAAACGGGCTTCCAGAGCTACGGCTAGGTCTATTGTCTACGCGTCTCCACACATTTCCAATGGAGCCAAGACCTGGACCTAGCTCTATAAGACATTCGGATGCAGCCTCAATTCCAATTCGAAAAACATGAGCCTCGTGGATAACATTTCTTGGGCCTTCATGCCCGACACTACTGTGCTTTTCGTCATCAAACAACAAGAAAAATTCAGCGATATGTGATTATGTATCGCACATGGACTCTCAATCGTCGTGCACCGTGTTGGCCAATCACACGATGCACGACATTTATCAACCCAATGCGCGTTTGGAAAGGATCCACAGATTTCGCGCATTATGATAGGCTAACGCGATGCAAACTCTTGGAGGCGCACTACTGTGAATCGCCAGTTTTGTTTATCTTTCTTCTGTTTTGTTTCAAAAACGGGTGGCAATGGCAGTTTTGCTAGCTTGCTGGTGCCGGCGCCTATTTACACTTGTGGATAAACACGGGCAGGCGGGGTTGGGCTTAGGTCGCTTGCTCGAAGACACAACATGTAACCAACCGGTGGCTGTATTCGAACCCACCAGGAGTCACAACTCCATGGCCACGCAGTCGGCATCTGTAAATCCCTCTTCAGGTTCACACGCACGTGTTGACACGCGTGCGATTTGAATGCATCGGATTTTACGATCATTTGTACCTCTACTTGAAGCACTAATAAACACAATACCAGCTTTTTTTCCTTCCCCAGCTGTCTTCACCTTGCTTTCAATACTAATTTGCCTTTGTTCTGCATGACAGGGCAAGGCGCACCACCAGGATCTAGGTACGTGTAACTAAGGACGAAGAAGTTGGTGTTCCATTGTTCAGACAGTCAGGTGCATGGTGACAAAGATATTTAGTATAAATCTACGTATTGTCGAATTATAATGGTAAACAAAATCGCACGTGTGTCGGCACATATCTTCTGATCTCTCTTACTATTCCGGGAACGTACTGACACAAACAAGATTTGAATGATTGAATGAATGCACAAGTTCGATCAGTTCAGACATCCGACTGATCGGAAAACGCAATACCCGCCTTTTCCATTAGGTTGTCTCTATCTCTTGCGGGTATGCCTTGTTGTATAAATTTCATGCTGTACACGTGTCTGGCAGGAATGATCATCCACTTTGTACAATATTGTTCCTCATCTTCGCCGCGTGCATTGCAGAGTTGACATTACGCCACCGTTTTCACGGAGAGACACTTCGGCCGAAAATCATGATTTTTTCACATTTCTGTTTTTCCCTGGTGAGAAATTCGCCTCTTCGTGAAAACGGTGATGATTATTGGAAACCGAGCAATTCAGACGCTTTCCTCCTAACATGTCTTCTCAGCTGCTCAGGCTAAGCTGGGAGGATATAATCATAAACAAAAGATTGCTCTCCACTGATTTCTTTGCCTCTGCACTCAACAGCACACACCGTAAGAAGTTAAAGAGCTGGGGAATAGTAGAACAAAAACCAAGGACATCGCAGGTGGCAAGGGGACGTTTGTTCCCTCGAGAAAAGGGGAAAAAGAGAAAACAGCAGAGCCATAAAACGAAGGGTAAAGGGAATGAAAATCACCAACAAATCACCTACAAATTGACCCATTTTGACGCTGATAATTTGTCCGTTTTCTGCGGAGTACCCGGAACAAGTTAGCGACGCTCATTAGTAGAACGACCGTGATTTGAATACAGCAATGTTCGTAAAGCTACTAGGGCAGGAGACTGCGTCGTCCCGTGAAATGCAACGCAGTGTCAGCCCAGCGTTGACCTCGTAAACGCACGTACGACTTGAACCTCTCAGGCGATCGAAGTACATGGCTAAGTCTGTATGTGTTATGTGCACCTATGGAAGCTGTCAGCCAGTGGCTACATGCATTTCCCACATATAAGCATACATTATTTGAAGCCGCAGCCAAGACAATTGGACGCAGCCGTAGCTTTGAGATAGGGGATTTTCATCGAGCGGCGATCAGATGATCACATATTCATTTTCAGTCAGTAACAGGCTATCTTAATGAACCGTGACGAAGACTTTCCCCGGTGCCATTCCTCAAATTCTCTTGACAATACATGTACACCGCCTGATTTATGATTTTACCAGCCTCTGGACTTAAGTCTACATATCAGCTCGTGATCTTAACACAGGCAAAGTCTGAATCTCTACGAACCAGCCATGAAAAACAGATCACAAAGTACCGGTTCTGTTTTCCAATGAAATTGTACAATATGGTTCAACCACGCATGAAACACAAAATATTGATCTTTGCTGTCATTCGGGATGGCTTTGTTTTATGAATACTCTGTATGGATTTTTCCACATTTAACGAAACTCCAGACGTGCATTCTACTCATTTTCACCCACTGTGTCTCTATTCATGATGCCAATGCAAACACATCTTTTATGACGCTAATGCAAGTCTGGTCAACGAGTTCGGTCTCCAATGTGGTGGACTGATTTATGATCAGTAGGCAGGGCAACTATTTGTTGTCTTGATGTGCTGCCTGCTTTCATGACGAATTTCTCAATAACATGCTATCTAGCATGACAGTGCTAAGGTTATCAATTCAACAAGACTCTTGATCAAATTCCTCACATCAACATTTTCCACGCATGGCGTAATAAAATTCTTCCAGATTTAATGAGCACTCAAGTCTGAACGTTTGGCCGGTCTGACGTATCTTAGTGACAGGATTAAAGACACACTGATGATGTTAAATGTTTCCCGTTGTGCAATTCAGTGTAATTATGACATCTTGCAGTACCTCTTCTCCTTGTAGAGATTAATCCATCGAGAAGCCATTACTGTCGGCTCCAAATCGCGATGTGCTTGGGGCACGCGAGCATGTCACAAGTCGCAATGTCCTATTGGTCTGGGATGTACCGTAACGCGCATGTGTGCGCTAGTGGGTGCAACCGTAGCAATGCCCTCTGGATATCACTGACGGATCAGTTTATCGAGCATTTTCAGTCACATGATTTTTGACGGCCGGTGTTCAAGTGAAACGGGCTAAGTTCGATCAAGGACCACTAGTTAACATGTCGTTGGTTCGCAACGTACTTAGCGCTCGTGCAGTGAACTGAAGTACAAACAACCCCAGTCAACCGTTGTCAGGTCATTAGGACGAAGGGGAGAAACAGTGGCCGCTGGAAAGGCAAGTTAGCAAAAATAAGGGTGAAAATGGTCGTCTACTAGTGACATACTATTTTTCCAGCGTTTGTCTTATAACTGGTACTCTCTGCACTGTTATATTACAAACGGTTTGTGGAAACCAACGACGCAACCAACCTCCGTAGGCTGGTAGCGAATAGTTGGCTAGACTAGAGTTCGATGACAGTAAGTAGAACTATGGTTACCTATGGTCCTTGATCGAACTTGTCCCTAATACAGTCGCGAATAGTTGACTAGTCCAACCACCTTCGACTAGCCTGCGTTCGATCAGAGTTTGTCCAAATATAGTCGACATCCTTGATTGAATGTACCCAAGGATATACGCGGAAACGCGTGCAACCTCGAAATCTCTCAACATTCTGGCGTACATGAAATTGCACACAGGTTCGAATATGCACGCGCCTCCACGGACCTGGTGCGCTTCCGGAAATGTCCTTACCCGTCATTTTACGTCACGTGAAAAACCTCTATATTGTAATTCAACTACCAGAATAAGAAGCAATGCATGATTGCGGTGGCACAACAGCCGTGGACACGTGGTACACGCTCGTTACATGCCTCTTCAGCCAATAGGGTATCATGATTTGTCAAATGCACGCGTGCGTCAGGTTGAAGAATGTGCATGGAAGTGCTGTGGCAATATGTTACGGTAATTATTACGACATCGGAATATCAGAATGGAGTATACCTAGGAGCGCAACACAAAATGTTAGGACAGTCATCCTATGGGATGACAGAATTCAGTCCCTAAACCCCACACGGGATACATCTGATGAAAACGAGGAATATGAACCCTAATACATGAGCAACCCAACTCCCCATAGCCGCGCAAGGAATGTGGACTCCTGACAGGTCACAGTTGCAGTTAATGCAGTAACCACTGGTGTCACTAACCAATAGGGGCTTTGCGTGGTAGCCATCTCTCAGGGCAGTTAAGCCCCCTTTGTGCATACTTAGTGGAACAAAAGCACTAGCCTGCAAAATAAGAGCCATGCAGACCCTCCATGTGGAAGTATTTACTGTGACGACAGTGTGGATATACAAGTTTTAACTATGGACCTCCATGTCATGTCGATACTAATCGCACCAAACGGACAAACTTACGGTTACCATTTAAGTTCTCTCAAAGCTGGGCGATGTGACTGGATAATGACCAGAACGGAATTTGAAATAGAATTCGACTTTCACTTCTGCCTGGTGCCAGGAGAAATACCAAATGATCACAAATCCCGGGAAGTAAGCACGTCAATGTGACATTTTAGATGTCACATTCACATCTAATGCACTGATTGGCTTTATGAAGTGAGTCAACAGTCTCCATGTCCGTCGTAAATAATCAGAAATAGGGTTAAGCCGTTGTATCAAAAGCTATTGCTCCACAGTGGCAAAGCAAGATAGATACCAATCCCATTCAATCATAAATTCCATTTGAAATAAATATGCAGCAAATTATCTGCGTAAAGTGATCATGTAGACTAAACCGTCCATCTAAAAAGGTGAAATTCCTACCATTTTTAGAAACCGTAAGTTATAAACTACTTTTAAAGGGAAATTGAATTCATACTTGAAGAATAAAGGTAAAATGCAGAGATATGGTTTGCCAGAGCATCAAAGATACTGATGCTAATGTGTTTGCTACACATCTCGAAAGAAAATCTCAGGGTCACTCCAAATATGACGGAGATAGCAGGTGCTTATTCAGAGACAAAACACAGTGCGAAATTCTAACCTTGCTGAATGGAGTAAGCGCTCCAACGTTACTCGGAATATTATGCCCATATCTCAAAAAAGTCAGACTATTCCAGTGTTTTGCCTTCGGAGAGCCTTTTGGTTCTTTACCTCCGAACATTCTCCTATAATTTATGTCCCTCGTCTCTCACGCGTGCCCTGTCACCTTTTCCAACAGGAGTCATGATGACATGGGCAATATTCCCATCAATACGTAAATAAATTGGTACCTTCATTTCTGAATAACTACATTCCCGTATAGGGTATTAAATACAAAACAACACTTTGAGGGCAGGTGCAAAATCCAGTGCATTATTCCTCGTTTCCGTGAGTGTAGTTAACGACACCAAATTTGCTGAAACCAATAGCCTGGTCAACATACAATATTTTGAGGGAAATTGGACGATATACAGCGCTGCCAGAAACTACGCTGAACAGGAATTCATATCCTTATTATCAGTAGAAGATAGCACATGAAATATTTTATTTGGATAAATCGGGAAAGTCCTTATATTACCCCCCAGAAAGTCGAAGCGTTCAAGACTCATCTGCCACGCACGGCTGTGAGTAAAATGTTACTTTGTACTCTGAAAACTAATTCCTTTTTTTCTCGACAAAATCTGGAAGGTATGTCTTACCTCCACCCTCGTGTAGGTGTTACTCATCATGGCAATGAGTGCATTGAGCATGACGACCACCGCGAACATCATGTAAAGAGCAAAGAGGATGGTTCCCACTGCCTCGGTGAAGCCATGTTTAGCATGATTGACCCGGATAATCTCCAAGCCCTCCAGGCCAAAGAGTGACCAGAAAAGGGTCAGCATGGACTGGCCAACGCTGAAAGCAAATAGAAGACAAAATTAAAGTCTCTTCGCATAGATGTAGCACATGCACTTTTAATAACATTAATGTCAGGACTTTGTGACGTATACGAATTACAAGTAGATTGGTATTTTTCCCAGACTTCTAGCTTAAGCCGACAGCGGTCGAATACAGATTGTCAAACTGTTGATGCGCCAGGCTTCTGGCGCCCAAATGTAAGACAAGGAAGCTATCACTGTTAGCAATGTACTTTTAGGAATAACTTCCCGAACCAATGGTTAATTGCCAAACTTGCCGAACCAGTGAAAATTTCCCTTATAAATGGTACAAAAACACGCGATTCAATCCATGTTATGAAGCCATTCGTTTTTCTGAATTATCCTGAAGCAGAAAAGGAAATGTCTCCCCTAAATTTTGAGACAAAACTTTATATTTCTTCCATCAAAATTAGATCTTCTGGGTGAGGTTCTGCCAGTTTAAAAGCAAAAAATAAATAAATAAATAAAAATGACACGGCGACGAATAATCATTCAAACCGTTCGCTCATAGCCAGGTGCATGGGACCCTTAAAATAAATTTGAATCTAACTTGAGGGCACGTACACAATGCTTGGAATAATTCCGTTTATAAGAGACAAACAAAGAGCGTACATTGGCCTCATTTAAATGTATCAATTAACCAGTTTCTCGAATGACACATACAGGACGTTTTACTCCTGAGCTTGAAGCAAATTGCTGGGTCATTTAAACTGAGGTACGGTGTATAGAGGAAGACAGATTAGACTCATTCCTATTGCACTGTGTGCTTCTTTCCACTCTAATAATTGGGCCCAGACGGGGTAATTGATATCAGTGCCTCGCCAACCAGACTCCCATCCTCCCCGCTATGGCTGTCTGGACTGCCCACGGGGCACCAGCCAACCGCAGCGAGAGCTTTCGCGCGTTGCCTTGAGGGACTGTTTGAGACCAGCGAGCCAGCTCAAGGAGCGGAGATGTCGCCCGTCTGGCGTTGAGTCACCTTCGATTGAAATGAACACGTCCCTGTTGTGGCAGGTTTAGTTGAAACTTATGACCAAGCGGTTAGTGCACATGGGTAAGCATGAATCTATAGGCCTACATCCTTTTATTAAGAAACAATGAAATCTTGAGTTACTAACACCTGTTTCTATCCACAGACGTGCTATCGTACTATGATTTTTATCCTTAACCTCAATTCTCCAATTAAGCTTCTATCTAAATAGCTCTACACCGTTACAGCAACAGGCTTAACATTCCGAATAAACAAATGCTTCAACCATCAATCAATAATAAAACCCAACATGGAGTATGTAAAATGCATGAATTAAGACATATCGGCACCAAGTTTGCCTGACCGTATCCTATGAATTTGTCCCGGCATGTGCACCTGTGAAGGCAAAATTGGCACGAGCAGTGAACAAGTATCATGTACTTGACAAGTTATCCGAGCTCAGATCTTAAGCTCGGCTAGCCAACTTCTGTGCAAGAATTACTGTAGTTTCGTCCATGCACAAGGACAAACTATTAATTTACAGCAAGGAGGGAGTTTTCCATTTTTGTAATGAGCCTTGGTAATAGACTGCTGTTTTCCAGTCACAGAACGACGCATATACCTGTCAACGAACAGCAATCGTTAATGGAGCTTTCTCATTATCTCTGACCCTCGTCAACAAGCCAGCATTCCACGACCTCCTCAGTTTCCTGAGTGGCAATATATCAATGCGATCGGTTCTGATTTCACACAGGCAAATATATGAACGCACACCCAGAAAAAAGATGTATGTTGATTTTCAACTCCTCAGGGCAATTTTAGGAGAAGTGCCGGAATGACGCCCGCCTCATTCTTTAACTCTCTATCAAGGATCAGCAGGTCAATTGATGTTTACCTAAGGTAGGTACCGGGATGCACATGACCCTGAAGGAAGACCCAATGCAAAACAGTGCTACAGTTTGGACGCATATTCATCCCAAACAAGTCAAGAACAAAAATGGTTGTACCTTCAAAACTGAAATGGGAACACTGGTATTAGAGACTACTTTCTTGAAATGACAAAATGTAACCAGCACGTAATGAGGTACATACAGTTATTGGAAATTTCGCTTCTACAATCTAACCCACGCTTATAACTTAAGGTTAACCTATACTTAGGTTAAACAGAGAAGATGACTTACTCGTAGAATGGTCCGGGCCTGCAATCTTCCGTGCCCTCAGCCAAGCAAAGAGTGAGATCGATCTCTTGATAGGCTTGGTAGATTTGATTCAAACCCAGCGAGAAGGCGAACCACACGATGATGAAGACCATGATGAACTTGGCAATGTCGAAGAGCATCCCACCCAGGGAGATCTGCAAGGGTCCCACCAGCTGGCTGGAAACGGTCAGGATTAGCAGACGCAGGAAGGTGACCACAGTGGCGATAGCAAAGACCGCGTCGGCCACCAGGGCCGGGTGAAGCGGGTCGAACTCGGGCTCGGGGGCCGCTGTCGGCCCCTGGGTGGCCTCCACGCCACAGGTCAGGTTCTCCAGGAGCACGTCCAGCATCCGGTCCAGCTCGGAGCGGATCACCCCGTCCAGGGCTGCCTCCGTGTCCAGGATAGTGGCCGTGATGTACTGCTTGAGCTCCTCAAGGGAGACTTCGCTCGAGAGGTTGACGGTGGCAGGGATGACAGTTGAGCTATCGGTAGCGACGGAGCGCGATGGTCCTGGAGGTACCACCGGGCTGGACCCAAGCCCAGGAATGACAGTGGTAGCTACTCTTAACTCAGTGTCTCTCTGAATCTGCAGTTTAGAAAAAAACGAAACAAAAGAATCTCAACTCCAAACAAGGCAAAAAGAACTCCCTGAGCCTAGGCTAAATGAACCGTCTAAATTGAAACTGTGCAGACTGAAATCACAGAGAGGTGGGCCGTGATTTTCTGTGAATAGAAATGTCGCATTGCTGTAAATATTTACCCAGACATACTTTGAAACACTTGAGACACTGTGCTCTGCGTTAAGCATCATTTCGATAAACGTCCATTCAGTCCGTTTTTTTGTCAGTTCCTTACCTACAGACCCTATCGTTCATAACAAGCGTAAACACGCAATGATGACTTAAGACGCCCCTGTGGAGAAGTTACTTAATTGTGTCAGGAAACAACAATTTTCTGTTGATCTCGGCCTCTACACTGGAAGTTCATAGACTTTTTCGCATAAGAATATATTTGAAGCCGGTCTAGCTTTGAAACCACAGATGTAAGACATACAAAACTTACAAGAAAATAGGAATGTGGAAATTACTACACGTTAGACAAATAAAACCAACAGTTAACGGCTGAAAAAAGACTACGGCGGAGTTGAAAATAGACTTTTGAGAACCTGTTACAGTGTTTCTACTAACTCAATAGCTCTCAAGGCACTTGATGCTACTTTTTGCGGGGTCACTTCATGCTTTTCAAAGAACTCTTGTCCTTAGCCATGAAATCCACATCGAAGTTAGAATACCAGCAACAGCTACGACCTTTTTGTTTTAATAACCCCATTAAGACAGTGCAACAAAAATTAGTGCAATGAGAACGCTGACGGCCTGTAAGTTGCTCGATTGAACAAGTCGACACAAATGGCCTGGTGCAGGCAGAATGCATACGTGATGCCTAGCGTGATGTGAATCGAGTGACCTGCGTACGGTAGATCAATTTCTACGGTTACAAATGGGTTGCATTCGGTTTTGTTTTCTGCCAAATTTTCGTTTCAGCTGCTGGATATTGTTCCATTCAACCCGTTCCATTGCAACACGTAAGGCGTGCGTGTGGTTAACTCATGAAAGTCGCCGCAAAAGCAACCAACGTTGCTTCTTATACTTTGCATTTTGTCTTCGTGATCAATTTAATTTTGTTTCATTTCAACATAGGAGCCAATATTTCGTATCATGATGCAAAGCATAACTCCTAGCCCTATGCAAACGAAGTCCTTCCCCTGCCCATGTGCTGACATTAAGAGAATGACTGTTGGGGCCTTACCTGGAAATAACTGATGAGAGTCAGTACCATGTAGCTCCAGAATAGGGCCAGGATGGCAAAGTCCAGTACATTCGCACCGTCCTTCAAGTAGTTGCTCACGCCCCCTTTCCAGATGGCCTTGATCTCCGCCCATGTCATCCCTGACATAACAGAGAAGTTCTTATTAAATATAGGCCCCAAACTTTGACAGGCAATGGTGGATCCAGGGAGTCCAGAAGAGTTACATGAAAAAGGTTCCCAGATTCATCCCCAAAATAAGCCCCCCCCCAATATTTGCTTCCAGACAAGCCCTTATTGACACGCCACGTCTATCAACGGAAATTAACGTTATCGTGGCAAAACACATTTTACAAATGTTCAAGAACAATTCTTAACAAAAAATGCATTTACAATAGTACTCTGAAAATAATATTCGTTTAATTAAAATGGAAATTGCATCTCCGAACAAGCGTAAAAAGTAATATAGGACAGTTCCGTTAAGCCTCAATATGAATGACGAATGTCTGGACAAGATGTTAGAATTGTGGTGACCAAACTTTGAAATTGAATGTTATTGACGAACTGGTTTTGCCCCAATAGTACATAAATTCCTCCTGGGCAACTTAAAATATTGAGATCTGTATACTGGAATTAAAACATAATTGCAAAAAAGTTTTACATTTTGCATTTGTTTTAATAACCTGGTAACATCTAGTTTATTCCTTGAGGTTTACTTGAAGTTAAGACCGCCAAGAAAATCAGGCATTGGTAAATACGTGAGACAGTATCAACGAATTAATTTGGCATCGTCTGGCACGATGCTTCTGTTTTGGCTTTACGGTTTCATGTGTCTTTTTTTTTGTTCATCGGACTCTGTTAATTAATTTGCACAAGATGTAATCTTAGGCACAAGGAGTCCCAAAGGCTGAAAACTGACCGAATAGTTATTCTCGAAATGCGATAAGTGCAATGTTGAAACCTTGCAGAATCCTAACCTCTTTCAACTACCTGCAGTCAGTTTTGACAGCTTTCAGACAGCTAAACACATATTTAATGAGTCAAAATAGTGAAAAACAAGTTCAGGGACACAATTGTACAGTACTAAAATTCTTCTATATTTCATAATTGTGGAAAAACTTGCATGTTTTTCGAATGGATACATCTCATTTTGGAAATAAACACTTCCTTGTCTATTGACAATTACCTTACCCTTAAGATCTGGTTGCCTATTGTAGTTATTTTGTAAATGTCTTCTTGGGCCCTTTTTGTGTTCTCTATTGTTACCACATCAGGAGATAAATGCACACGAGACAGAATGGAAACAAACCAATGGCCGTAGCCTCTCTCTCCTCTATAACCTTTAAGTCTCGGATGCTGGGTTCAAATGTGCAATGAATTATGTGTAAATGTATTATAACATATTAAGATTTCATAAATTATAAGACGTACACTTTTGTTTGATGCACAGTTATGGCATAAAACACTCGATACGACCTGGTTTAAGAACACAGAACCACACGCGACCCCGGACAACTGAACGATAAACTGAAAACAATTTTAAAATTTCACCCTTCAGAGAGTCAAGATGCGGTCAACCCATTCCCTCCTGCACGGTCAACCTAACATATTGTTTTCAGCCGACACGGTCCAGGGGCCCTGGTGGCACCTGTTCTCTAAACATTTACGCTTGGCTGCCCTAATGGCATGAGTGCCGGCCAGATAAGCCAGAAATAATGTCGCTATATAGGCTTTGAGACACTAGTCGGACGGTTCAACCATGGAGAAATAAAACTTGTGACAGAAAGGACGGCTGGGATGTCTGTATTAAGACCTGCTGTCCATACACCGTACGCTTCAGCCACAAGTTTACTTTCTTTGTTCTGTGATTGAATTGATGCTCGGGTGAAGTCTTCGCAACTACATGCATGGTTTGGTTGCTGTGTGGCTAGGTAGCTCGTTGTTTAGTTTAATGTTTCGTGGTTTCCGTTGTCTTTAGGGGGTTGCATGTCTCGATAATTGGTCTAAGTTGATGGTTCACAGGAAGGGTTACATTGAATTACATCCTCTTCCTCGTGCACAGCTTAAAGGGACGCAGAGGTGGAGAAGCATTTATACAATAGTGGGCTTATCCTAGAGACACTGAATGGAGAGCTTGAACTCGAGGCGTGGCTGATCTTCGGAGCTAATATTCGAGCTTTCTGAATTTGAGCGTAGACTTTATGCCAAGTAAGATTTGAAGCCTTGCATGGTGGATGAAACATGAGAAATGGGTTTGCGGGTACACCATGGAATCAATCTTTTTGGACTAGGTGTGGTTCTTAAAAGAACCGGTACTCACCGGTTCTTTTAAGAACCACACCTCGTCCAAAAAGATTGATTCCATGGTGTACCCGCAAACCCATTTCTCAGACTTTTTTCTAACAGGGGAACCAAAGTTGTAACGCCAGTAGCTGTTGCCCCGCAAAATTGTTCCAGGCAATGCCGATTGGAGTAACAGGTGTTTTAATAACGATCCAATGAACGAATGGGTCATGAATCCAGGACCACTTACCTATAATCCACAGAAGGATCAAGATGATTACACTGAGCGGGACCTGGCTGAACTGGTTGGGGTCACCCTGCCCCGTGATGACCTCCTCCGTGGTCACTGTCGGCGGGACGATGGTAGTTATGAGCAGGAAGACGAGGAAGGTCATGCGGGAAGCAATGTCCATCAGGAACTTGACGTACCTGTCGATAGATCCAAAGATGATCCAAAAATGTCCAATCACACACCGATCAGTAACGACACAAAGTTCTGTGGATACACCCACTGTTCTCAAGACTGCTTTGCCCCTCATAATAAATCATAATTGTATTATGCCAACCATGAGAATCGATCACCTGAAAAGTCTGTGTTCATTTCGTCACCTTTTCAACAAATGTGTGGCGTACTTCACTTGACAAAGAAAAATATATTGTAACTATTGAAATGTCTGTGTCTCTTCAAGACAGCGCTGATAAATTTTGCTATAAACTACTTTCAGGCTAATAACTGCCGGATGTTACCAAGTTTGGGAGATCGGTGTCTTTTCAATGTATATTATTATTCATTTAAATGGAAAAGAATAGTTCTCTATGGATGTCGGCCAATTTGTGGTTGCTCAAGCATAACAAATGACCAGGAAAATCCCCAGGCCTATGGCAAGCCATTAGCATTTATGTTGACTTGGTAACGTGCTGACAGAGTTAGTGACTTCTATAAATATCAGGATAGCAAAGACATGTTCATCCTATATGAAGGGAACAATTAAAGGAGACTTCAACCGCTTCAGGATGACACCTCATTTAGGGCCTTCACGCGGATCGGGATCGCGATCAGTGACCGACGCTGGTTCACTGACACCCGAACCCTCATAATGGATGAGGCAAACCAGCTCGAGATTCAGATCCGTGAGAAACTTAACAGGCCCATCCACACTCATGGAGCTCCACACCAGCCCGCACGCTGGAACTATGATAACAGACAAGATGGCAACTACATGAAAAGTTAATGAGAGTTCCTCGGGACTTACGGAGTACTGACAAAGTCCATGACCTTGCCGCTGCCCAGGAAGATGTACAACAGTGAGGTGAAGGGGTACATCAGCATAATGACGAGGGACAGGAGTAGCTGCTTGAAGAGAGACCAGTCCCTCATGAAAGACATCTTCCCGTAGAATCGCTTGATAAGTAGCTGCTGGCAGTGCGGATGAGCCACGAACTGGGGAGGAACGAAGGAATGGACTCGAATTAAGGGAAGGGCTACGGGAGAAATATCACTTTTGGAAACAGAATGAGAAGACTTCCGAAGAATCTCATCGGATTCTATGGCCCTCTTCAAAACAAACACTGAGCGTTCAATTACACTTGACAGATTCCATTGCAACTTGGTAGGAGCTTTGAATCGTCCACATTTATAGACATGGCTGGTTTCGAGCAATCAGACCTTCGTAAATTCTTGTTGTTAATTGACAGTTGCACCCCAGTACAGGTGAACTTGAACATACACGTGCGACCTTTCGGTGCTATACACCTCGACCTTGATATTCTGGTAAGAATTATTGGTCCAAAATATCAACTATTTTTGGTCAATCACTTTAAAAATCCATTATCATGCTCGTCACAAAAAAGAGGCAATGCATGATGGTGATATTGGGGAAGATGCACGGCGGGGGATTCTACCCAAGCCCCAGGCTGCTACACGACCTTAATTATCTTCTAATTTGTCTGCAGCTGCAGTGACCTTTAACAGATTTTCGACTCACACCATTCAGAACCCCTTAGAGATAGAAGCGAAGGGGTAGTGAAGAAATAACCCGTTCTAGGCCTACACATCGTAGGACAATTCGTACACCTCAACAAACCACCGCCCAACACCCATAAACGTCTAAAAATGAAAAGCAAACAAGTCCATGCGGGGGGCAGACGTTAAATAAGTACCGATACTCCAGAAGTATACATTTCTAAACTTATTTTTTCGTATGAACGAATTTTGATATTCCAGTTTTGTCCAATGAAAATCAAGAATTAGCTTATCTTTTCATTCCGTACAGAGTTAATTGACCCCACTCTTTTCTGTAATTAAAACAAAACATGACAAAACAAAACCTGTCTACGATTCTAATTGGGCTGATTTATGTTGCACTTGACGCATTCGTAAGAGTTCATAACAATATACGAGCTCCCTTCTTTGGGTAATATTTCCAACCCGGAAAAGCAAGAGCCAAATGCATAGGGAAAGGCACCAAACGTCCACTTTCACACGACACCAGCCACTTAAACCATGAAGAAGTGGTGCCTAACCTTGCTGACCTTTACCTGGGTAATGGTGATAAAGATTTAAACACCCATTCACAAGTTCTTCTCTGAAGAACCTCACAATGCGTTTGTGTCGTAGAAAACAGGAAATGTTCATAGTATTTAATTTAGTGAACAAACGACCATTGCATTAGGTCCGGATCTACTTTTAAGGAGATAGGGCTTCGCCAGTCACCTACTCCTTTCGGTGTTGTATGATTTGGAAAATTCTTTTCTTGGAAATAATTCTCCTCGATCTTTCTTACAAATTGGAAAAAGAATGAGACACATACTCGTCCTACAACACTTCCATGAGTCAGTTATGACCCCTTCCCCTTTTCCAGTTTTTGTTTTACTTTTGTCATATCTAGACCGTAACCACACCTGTGGCCTTTCATATCAATACCTGATTATACTATGTTGACAGATTGCGTTTTCCCCAGTTTTTTGCGTGACGTTTTATAATGTACTTATTATGCTTGGTTCGAATCATTCTAAAAACGCCAAAAGGCAGGAGTCTCGAAGCAGATCCATTCTAAAATATTCTATATATGATGAACAGTTACAGAGAGCACAATTTCAAGATTATTGCTTTCTGCATTACTAACGTTCGTTACAGATAACCACATTGCAGTAATAGACCGATTGCGCCCAATAAATCACGTGACCCTATAAGTGCGTATCAACCCCATAGCAACCTGTGTTTAACAGTACTGCAATTACTGTATAGTACCCAGAATATCAGTAGTCGGAGTACGGTACCTGCTGTCTCAGCTTTATTTTTTGGTAAATGACAATTATGAAGAACTTTGCCTTTGGTGGACGCTGTGTTTGTTGATAATTAATACCCACTATAGGTCACGTGACTTGGCGAGCGCAATCGGTCTATTATGCTGGTTAGTAAAGGAAAGTAGCCTATGCCTACAGTGTCGTATCGATTCTTGAGTATATAAGACCGTGGTGAAAGTTGTTTCGTGCCATTTGAAAGCGACGCCCAAAAGAGTGACCTAAGGCCAATTGAAATGTTTGGGTCCTTGATTCAGTCCGGTCACCTATTTTTTTTTTAATCTCTTCGTCTTTCTTGTAATTATTTTCCCTTCACCCACGACAATTCTTGGCGGCTGTCGGAGACGACACGAGGTATGATCTTGAAACTCAGTATGATCGTCAACCCTCCTCCTTTGACACTCATCGGCCGAAGTGTCACGTCTAGATGACGTCAATGGGTATTAGTCCAACATCACACACTTCGTTAGCCAGCATCTCAGGAAACGAGGCAGGAAAATACGATGTTTATGTTTTGAGGGTTCTCCGAATACAGATTTTCAGTGTACCAGTAACTTTTAAATTTCAGACAACCTTGATATTAGACAAAAGTGTCGTCCAAACGCTTTCAAGTCATGCTTGCAAATTTAGACTTATTGCAAAAATGTACATTACATTTGTGACGTCTGTGTGACGATTAATTTCGTTACACTTTCGTGGAGGAAGAACCACAAATACTTCTTGTATAAAACAAATTCCTTTGCCAACTGTCAAAACGACGACATAATCAACCCAGAAGTTACTTTGGGGAAAATAAAATTTTCGGTTTCCCATTTAATCCACAGCAGATGTATTTTTGCAATGAGAATTGCACCGACCAGAGTTTTCAATGGTTGGATCGATATTCTGTGATATCACATGATATCTTCTGTTTGTAAACGAAACAAGTACTATGCTCTAGTTATTTTTTTTCTTCTTCCATTGTCATGACCGTTCAGACCTATGGTAAGAGCTGTAGTTTATATATAACGCATATTACACAACTACATGTATTAGATTTAACATCTCAATCCTGGTTTTGCTCTACCTTGATAATTTGACCTCACACCTTTTATCAAGATTCTCTGCTCCATTTGTTTACGTGGTAGCAGTACCTCAGCGCACGCACCTTGCCTAGCCCCATCGTCCAACACCGTCCCCTTCCATGAAAACTCCATGAATCTTTTAAGAGGGAAAACTGCACCCTTCACCTTCTCATAGAAGGCAGGCCTCGCCCGCAACGTGGGAACAAAGCTCACATGCTTCGTGATTCAACAAATTGGTTGGGAAGGCACCTGTAATTAGCCGGCGGGCTCCACTGACAACTCACGGTCAAGCTGGAACTCCCCACGGTTGTAAAGGGATATCAACCGTCACCCCCAATCAATTATGGATTATAACTCCCTCCCGTAAATGCCACTTGACATGCGGGAGTGTTGTCGTGAGCTACATGCTATTTATGAGCCTATTGAGTTTTCGCTACCCGCACGGGAAAGCACAGGTAGCAAGTTATTATTTAGATATGGTCTTTTCCTTTCAGATATCATAACCCTCATTTTTGGTACAGCTCCATATAAAAATATTTCATGCGAAGTTAAGCTTGGTATCGCACGTGGCTTAAGTAAATACTCGCACGAGTGGAGCCATCCTGGGTACGGATAGAAACAGAAAGTTAAACCAACATAGAGCTTCTTTTTAACACCATACTGAGAGCACTCACCGGCCAGGACCGCGATGCATTCCAGCGCAACGGCTGGAGAATCATGCATGACGGCTTTGTAACTCCCCTACCTACTTACACATCCTTTACAAAATGGCATCTAACACTGTTTCCTCCACAGCCACACACCCGGCTGGAGCAGGCATTTCAAAACATTATGGGGTTAATTTCCCACCGGTGGCATCTATTAATTATTTTAGGACGAGATTATGATCATTATGATGATGCTTGTAGAATTCTCAGCCTTGACACTTAAGCCAACAGGCGAGAAGACCATTGCCACAGTTTTGTAAAAAAGACCCCGTCCAATCCCCGTACTAAGGCATTGTTTCCCCTTTCTAGACTTGAAAGCCATGGTAAGAATGTGCGAAACAGTAAAAGCATCACTACAATTAGGACTACAACAAACCGTTTTAATTAAAAAAAAAAAACCAGCCAAATCCCCTGCTACATTAATTAAGCTTTTCAATTCAAAGTGTGGCTGGTATACCATTCTCCTTGATTTGTCCTCAAGTGTCTTTGTGTTTTTTGTGCTCATTACAAACGTCATGTAGAGTCTGAAGTTTTTGCAGTCTACCAATAAATAAATGTATTTTACCCATTTTTATGCCTTCTTTTGTAATTGTACAATTAAATGAAACAATACTGTAATTAATGTAATGAAATAGTTGACTTAATTTAAAGTAATGTTGTAATAATATAATTACAATGATGTAAGCTTTTAGTTATTTATTTTTATTTTGTAAACTCAAATGTAATTCGGTCTGTTGGCCTCAAGGTTTGAATTTTTTTAAATAAACAATAAACAACAACAATAATTATTAGATCGGAAGTTGGCCTGTAAGTCTTTGTAGGTCCAAAAAGTGTTCAATTCAAACCCTCAGGCTTTACCATTTAAACTGTCACATACGAAGGAGCTTCCTAATCTTTACATGTAGTTTTCTTTCCACTTTCTTGGATCCAGAATCTCTTAGATCCAGAATATTTTCTCACCGAAAAGATTTGGCCTCAATGCTCCAGTTTTTCACGCGGTAATAAAGGAGTTAAACCTGCAAATGCCAAGACCAGAATATAAAATTAAGAAACCTTTCGCCCGATATTTAGTTGAAGACAATTACTGACCAAGCATTCGAGTGATTTTTACACGATTATCTGTCTGAACACCTACGTTACTGTGCCACAGCCCTCAGCTTCCACCAATGGCTGAGGAAATGTAAACAGAGTAGGCCCAGTTCTGGTTTTTTTTAGCCTTGACATTTCACTAAACAGGTCTGAGCAAGTTCAGAATAACCACCGACTATGTAAATGAATCGAATTGGCCAAGCAAGGACAAGTCAGTAAGTCAACACGGATGACCTTAATTACACCAAAACTAATACAAAGTTACCAGCAGAATTAGG